AATGTAGAACTCCAAAGTAGCATATGAATAAACAACAAATACCGGCTTTTCATGATATTTAATTTTTCATTCGACCCTAAGGTGGACCAGAGGTGAATTATCCTTGTACAGTTACTGTTTTTATATCATTTTGAAGCGTTCTAAAAGTGCTGATTATCATCAACAGTTGGATTCAATATACATGTGATGATCATTGACTATTTTCAATCGGCTTATGTACAGTGAAAATAAGTGCTATAGAAGTAATTTTTATCGGGACCACTATCGAAAACATTGTGTGATAGTCTGGCAAAGAAGAAACCAAATTTTTCGAGAAACCTTTTTTCAACAATTATTGATTTGATTTCCATATCTTAGACTCTTAAAAATTAGCTGCATAATAGAAGCAAGAAGAATAAAACAAAAGCATGTACAATAGATTAAAAAATGGACAATTTCGCTTAATAAAATTTGGATTTCTCAGTTACTTCTTATACCCTTTCAAACTAGCAAACTGATTTCAAAAACAAAAATTTTTTGGCAATCGATCCCTACTGTTTTCGGTAGAGGATTCCATGAATCCTCTCCAGTTGTCAAATTGCTTTTCGACTGAGACGATATTCATTTCGGGATTAATAGAAAAGTCTAGAATGGTTTACTTTTCCGAGCCTTCGTTCTTGAGGTATCAAAATTTTACTAAATTTTTCAACAAACAGTTGTGATCCCCTGGGATCGCTTGAAAAATCTACTTTCGACTTCAAACTTTGTATGAACAAAGTTCTCCATTAGATTAATGAGCAGTGTCCTGCACGAATACGACTTTTCGCTTGTATGACCTATGGTCAAGTACAATAAATTGCTTACTTATGATTGAACTAGTCTTCACTTCTATGCTTTTATATAAATAACAATACTAAAGAAGAAATGAAGACGCATGGAATTGCATATTATTGATTTTTCTAATATGTTTTGTAGATCTTCAATTGGCAGATTCACTATGAGCGTCTCATTAAGTAGGTTTTGTTTTCATAACTGTCGATTGAAAGAAAAAAAAATCTGTAATATATGATTCGACTCGTTATCATCTTCTCTTTCTCAAGGTCAAAGTCATGACTCTCTATTTTTGTTCTGTCGAAAGTTATTCAAAGTATTACCGTTACTTATCATATTAAACAGCTGTTATCGAAATTTTATTATTATGACATTATTTGAAGAATGATGAAACTCAGAGTACTATTTTTGCTATGCTCTAAGTAATGTTTAAGTAAGATTTGTAAAGATTTTTCGATGTAAATTTTAAAAAATATCTTAAATCTATATACATTTGATCTCATTTATTTCAACAAATATTTAAATAAAACTTAAAATCAATATCAATCGAAACCTCTTGATATTCCACCAATTCACTAAGTATCCAAATTACTTATGATGATTTAGTCGAGTACAACATATTATCGTGTGGTTATTTTATGATATACATAATCAAGAAGAAACGCTTCATATACAAAAAATAAGTTGAATATATTGTGTTCTTTTTCTTTTTCTTGACTATCTTTTTTTTTCTTTTTCTTCTTGTTTTTTGCTATACAGCCTGTTCTATTCTTTCGTTAGACTACCTTCAATATAATATAAAGTGAACGACGAGAAAAATGGGACAATATGATTCACCTGTCTTCATATACACATTAATTGGAGAAGAGAAAAAAAAAACCATAACTAATATTTTCTACTTTTCTTTTTTGCTACCCTAGACGACTCAATGACAAACCAAGTAGTAGCATACACACATAGAGACGACACTAATGAGATAGTAATTTTATCATTCATAAATAAGCACTTAGGCAATCAAAACAATATTTGAAAATAAATGTACAATATTTTCTTTTTTTTTTGTCCTTATTCATCTACAATAAACATATATATATATATTTTAACATTCAGTCTCAAACAATCGTCAAAACGATGACTCAGTAGCAGAACCCATTCAATTATATTAAATAAAAATTGAATTTATAGTCAGTATTAAAGTGTTGATAATTTTTTTTTAATTTTATAGAACAAACAAACAAAACAAAAAACATCTATGGCAGAATCTTCAGCAGCTGATTTTGTATTTAAGATTGTTTTAACAGGTGATTCAGGTGTTGGAAAATCAAATTTATTATCACGTTTTACTCGTAATGAATTTTCACTTGAAAGTCGTTCAACAATTGGTGTCGAATTTTCAACAAAAGATGTTCAAGTTGATGGTAAAACAATTAAAGTACAAATATGGGATACTGGTAAAATGATTGCTTATTTTTTCTTTCTTTCTTTTTAATAAGAATAAAACAAATTTTTATATATTTATAGCTGGTCAAGAACGTTTTATGGCCATTACAAAAGCTTATTATCGTAATGCTCTAGGTACTCTATTAGTTTTTGATATTCTTAAAGCATCAACATTTCAAAACCTTGATCAATGGTAAAAAAAAATTTTTTTAAATTATTTTAAAATTCTGATTTGTTTTCCTTTTTTCAAATAGGTATAATGAAGTACGAGCGAATGCCGGTGCTGAATGTTGTATTATTTTAGTTGGTAACAAAGTCGATCAACGACATATGCGTGCAGTACTTTATGAAAATGCTAAACGTTATGCTGATGAAAGAAATATTCCGTAAGATATATTCTTTAGCATAAATGTTTGAAAGAAAACAAAAAAAAAATTTTTTTTTTATTTTTTAAAAGTTATATTGAAACGTCAGCATTAGATGCGACAAATGTAGAACAAGCTTTTCGTAGTCTTATTGCAGACATTTATCGAAATTGGGCGTCTCGAGTGGGTTCATTGAACGATGGTTCAAATGAATGGCTACATCCTGCTGGTCAAACAATCAAACCTTTTTATCCACAATCAGCTCAATCGAGAAGTGATAATATTGCTAAAACATGTTGTAGTAGTTCATAATATTTTTTTTTAATTTTATTTATTGTACAATGTCCACTTTTATTGTTATGAAAGAATACACAAAAGAATTTCTCTTATTAATAATAATATATAGATGAGGACACTTATCTCTTTTTAGAATATTGAATAGAGCAAATGATGCTATAGAATGTTGACTGTTAGAGATCTCAGATTTGTATTAGTATTAGAATAATACTAATTCTTTGGATAGTATTATTAAAATTAATCTTAATATTTTAGTATTATTTGCATTAGAATTAATGAATACCAAATTATTAGCATTATTCTTAATTGTAATACATGTGCTACCCATTACCATATCTTTGAGAGTTCATGTTTGAAAATTTCTGATAATAGAAGAAACGTTTTCCGTACTGGGAAGTGTCGTTACCAAAATAGATCAAAATTGTTTGGTTTTGAAAACTTTTGAACTTACAGTGTTCGAGATCTAGAATATGTATTAGCATTTTAGATAATGATAATTTAATGCTAACACATTGAATACGGACATCCTTAGTCGCAGCTATAAACTATTTTTGTTTAGAATTATTCTTTCAATTTTATATTTGTAATATAAAGCAGTCGAATTATGATTTCGATATTTTGAATAAATCTAAATGATATGCAAGGATTCCTTCTATTGTTTTAACACGGGATTTATTTATCTAGAAGGTCAGATTTTGTATTGATAAGCTGCTATAAATGAAGATTTTAAAGTTAAATTTGAAACTGAATTGAATGTAGATATCTTTATCATTTTTGTTCTCTGGATCCAAAAATCTATCGATTAAAAACAGAAAAAGTTGAAATATATTCAAGCATAGTTTCATAAGTACAAGCAACATTCAGATAGAGTAAAATAAAAAACTAATTATCATATTCCAATCTTTTGTTGAATGATAGTTCTCATTATCTTAATTGGACAGCTGTTGAATAAAAGTTTAATCACAATAAAATCAGAAAAAGACGCAATGAAAATTGTTTGCTATGAAAAATAGTCAAGAAATCTGGAACGAAGTTTCGAACTTTCAGATGTAAATCAATTCCAACCTTGATTCGTTTATAAAGATTCCGTTGTTGTATGTAGAGGTCTATTGGCATTATCTAGGAAACATTGCAAAGAAATGAGCTTGACTAATCTTCCAATTCATATACATTTTTAGCTATGCACGTATACATTGCATTGCGATGTCGAAGGATCGAAAATGCGTTTCGAAAGGAGATTAGAATTTTGGAGAGTTATAATATTGTAGAGATGTATGAAAAGGATGATTTTTTTTGAAAGGAAACAGTTGTCGTTTACTATGATGCATATAAAAGTTGTTTCTTTCGTAGTAATATCCGATGTCAGATCTAGTGGCCTGCATCATGATTAATTATGACTGACTATTTTCCAATTCTAGGTATGTAAAATAATTTCATGATTATATGGATTTCGTTACGTTTTTCTCCTGCTACAAAGCGGCATATCAAACTGGAAGCTACCATGTTTATGAGAGGAAAAAATTACTTTATAATCATCGTGAATAGCAATTTTTGTGACTAATCGTGATTGGACGATCGTGAAAGAATTTTTTCAGCAGCACTACGTAATAACCTTGCTTCTAATAAGCTATTTTGTAGTGGTTGGCCCCTCGCTCCCCTCCCCCTCCAGGCACGCGCTGTGCATGTTTCTATCCCCTGTTAATTTAGGGAAAGTGCGAGAAACAATAACTTTTGGTTCGAATTCGTGATATCTCGAACTGAGAATCCCTTGTAGTAGCAAACAATTAGAATTTTTGTGGGCGCGAACAATCGATAATCGGTGTGGGTCAATGAAACACCCACACCAATGCCCTTAAAGTTCTGCAATCAACTTATCAAACTATTTGTTGTAACAATTTTAATCAAAGTCAATACAAGATATTGTTTCAATTATAATGAAATAGAAGTTATCGACGATGATTGATTATCCGAAGACAGCAACAAATTGATATAGTCAGCATAATGTGTTTCGATATCTTCCCGATTGAGGCCAAACTCAGTAAGTGAGTACGTGTGAAGACCTTGTTTTCCTTGAGGATTTTTGAGAAGTCAATCACGTATAGTCATTTCCATTTCATTTGACCAATGAAGATCAAAATAATCATATATTTGATGGACAACACCAATTGGATCTTTCATCAAATTGTTATAAGTAATATCGAAAATATGTTTTTTCGATTGATCAATTACGCCGTTGTCTGTTGTTCGAAATTTCATCATACTTTCAATTTCTGTACCAAAAAATTGACAACTTCGTTTTATTATTCTATCGCGACTGATCGAGTTTGTTTTGTCAAAACTCAACTCAGCAACTGCCAATGACACACTACACAATGATGAAAGAACTTCATCAAGACGTCAATGTGTCATGATTAACAATGCATTCGGATAGTGTTGAAGCAATTTATCAAAAGAAAAAATATGGAACGGTGCTTTTAATAGTCAATGCTATTTTGGCATATCAACAGAATTTAACATACGTAGAAATATTTCATGTTAATCATATATATAATCTTTGTTTATTTACTTACGAATCCAACTCTCAGGATTGCAATCTTCATCATCAGATACAACAGTAAACATGCACAAATAGTCAGCTTGACGTAGAATATGATAATCTTCTTCAATATCAAAACGTGCATGAGATGCAGCTATTCGAGTGAATATATCAGATAATTGTTCATCATCTTGTTGAAGAGATTTTAAAAGATCAATTCGTCGTTTTTGTCCGATCGAATCAGATCACGGAATTGGTGAAACAACTTCAACATTCATATCAGTGAATAATGGTGCACGACAATTCGGATCACAGGCAAGCAAATTGTAGAGCAATGTTGTACCTGTACGTGCGAGGCCACAGATTACCAACGGGCCAATAGTAGGCAAATTCCGATTGAAAATTTCATTGTGTTCAGTTGCATAATTGAGAACACGCTTACAATTTGTGTGTAAAGTATGAAGTTCAGATCGAAAATAATATCGACCAATAGGTACCATATATTCATTACGAAGTATACTTTGACGATATGATTCGAACGTACGGAGTATATCACAATGATAGCTAAATTGATTTTTGGCTTGTTTAGTCAAATCATCTTCGTGTAAAATAGTATCATTCGAATGATCATTAGTCGTTTGATCTGACGTCGTACTTATTGCATCAATGAACAACTGTTTTATGTAAAGGGCTGAGAAGTGAATATTTTGTGTGCGTGTGCGTTTTTTATCTAAGAGTCACCATAAAATGACGAATAATAAAAGTGTGTTCACTGTTAAACTACGAGTGTATAGAAGCATGTGTGGAGAAAAATATCATTAGAATCTCGACTAGTATATTCGGAGAAGAAAAAGAAGTTATATATATCGGTTATCTTTATTTTTGCTATTTGCTCGACAACAAGTATATATCATAAAAACGAATGATGACTGTAAAGATACGATTATCGAATAAAGACAATATTTATATCTGTCTTTTTTTGTTAAAACTCAGAAGATATCGATCGAAAAAAGTAAAAATCTAAAAATGCTCAAAGATTTTTCAAGAAACTCAAGAGAAAGCCTAAAAACTCTCAAATTTTGTTCACCTGAAAAAAAAAATTCGAAAATCCATTTTCCATTCAAAAGAACTACTTTGTTAATAAATTTATTTCTTAAATCTTTATGAAACTAAAAATATTTTCAAATTAACATTTTTGTAAAACCTGTACTGTAGTAGACAGGTGTTTTGACGAAAAGATCCAATGCATGCCTAAAACAAACTTTCGCACTTTGCTCTTTCGAACAAAAATGAAAATGCGAATTGAGACGGTAAACGGTGTGCACTATTGAGAAATATCATTTTCTCGTACACTTATTTGGTGAGAAGACCACTGTATACTGTTACGAAAGTGTGCAAGAGAGGATCGAGCATTGCCATACTCTGTAAAAAATTGATCGATTTGTACTATTAGAAACTAAAGCGCATCGTTCGAAACTATATAAATTCCAGTTTTCAGCCTGCGATGTTGTACCTATCAAGAGCTCTGACAAACAGACTGTATCAACATCTTATTCATCATTCACCATTGATGTGTATAGTTGTCAATAGACAATGATCACTTCGAAATTTTTCAACACTTAGCCATAAATATAAAATCAATGAAGATAAACAGACTAATAAATAATTTTTATTTAACATATGGACCATTTCAAGTAAAATGGGACGTGCCCACTTTTCATTGAGCTTTAATTCTTTACAAAGATTATTTTTTCGAATGGCTTCTTTCATGATAGACAGATGTAAAAATGTTGACTATTAATTAAAAAGTAAATCAAATTCTTTTTAAAGATTTACAGATGCTTAGAAAAAAACTTTAGAGGCAGATATTTCGTAACCTCAGATATTGTCTACAGAATTTATTATTTAATTTTCACTAATGCTACCTTCATTCGAAGTTTTTTTTTTAAAACTAAAATGCATGAAATGAAAGTCGATATCTTTCTGGTATTACATCATTCACACTAGTTTTTTACTGATAACATCTCTCAAGAGAGATCTCTAGTGCTGAGTTTTTTCTTTGAAATTATCTAGAGCAACTTAACATACATGTAAAATATAAATATTATCTCTTATCAAATTCTTTATCTCGAGATATATGTGTTTTAACTTTGCGAAGTCATGTTGTTAATAAATAATTTTACCCATGTATTAGATTGTATACATTACTGTAACTCATAATTCGATTTATACTATGAAATATAATCAAACAAAATTATCATTAGCAAAATTCAATCATTGTTAATCAAGTTTTTGATTTGGAAAAATTTAATTCTGTTCGAATTACTTCTAATGAAAATAAAATTTTACATTATATAAATGATAAACAAAAAAATTTTCAATTCAAATTTATGATAATCAATTCAAGAAAGAAAAAACATTTGATAGTTTAATCAACAAACAATTACCGGTAGAAGAATTTATTTTAATTGATTATGAAAATAATCCCTCTTCCGGAATAGAAAGTCATTCATAAGAAAAATTCCAGAAAGGCATACGAGAAGGTGTTAGAAGTGAAAAACGTTTTTTATGTAATTAAAATTACTATGTGTTTCAGTATAAGAGGGTTTTTCTTAGAGAAATTTCTGTTTTTCAGGCACTTTTTTTGCTAAAAGCATCTGTTTGAATACCAAGATTTTTCAAAAATGCTTAGTTTTCTAGGTAAACATTAGCAAAAATCTAACCTGGAATAGAAGCCTATGACCTTTTATTGTCCGAGTACGAGTTAATTTATCATAAGATAAAACAACTTTCATGAAGTATTAACAATAGTTGTTTTTTGGTTGATTAAGGGCAGATGCGCTTCTTTATCTGTCCAATAAAGAGGAAGCGATTTTTACTAGAAACACATGATCCACAGGTGAATACCTTCCTACTCTGAACTAAGATATAGTTTTTACAGTCGTGACTCCTATTCAAACATCTTATCAATGAACACACATGCACCTTTTTGTTTTGTTTTTTTCTGCTCTTTATCATTTCTAGCTACCGAATTAGATAAGAACACATTTTACAGTGAAAAGACGAATTTTGTTTTTGTAAAAAGCAAGTTTGTAGACATCTGTCTTCGAACTCGCCTTCGTTTCTAAAATAAAGTTTGTTTTTTAACAAAGTGCATGTTTTGACGCATAGAAACGCATTTTTTTATTGTTTTTTTTTCTAACTGACTAATGCACAGAAAACTACTGTTCATTGTTTGTCATCAATGTACATATGATGAAAAGTAACTACAACACAACATCATTTTATAAATATTCCACTGGATTCTGTATTCAATATTTTAAAACAAAAAAAAAGAATATTTCAATGATTATCCAAATCAAAATAGTTCTGACGTAATAAAACTTGATAAATACATATATATTTGGATGTATCGTAAAACACCGTTCATCAAATTCTGTTCAAAAGTTTTTTTCGGGTTCATAATATTCAAGTGGAGGAAGATAAATAACACAGAGAACCATCGCTGATTACTTCAAAAGCAGTAAAGAAGCTAATACTCTGAATTTTTTTTTCATTTCATAGTAAAATATAGAACATTCAGATTTTCTCTTTCAGAAGGATGACTTAAAACTCTGGAAGGACTAAAGTGATGTGTGGAGAGATGCCATCTCCACACTGCATTAAACATTGATAATATCTGCGCATAGATGAGCACGTTTCAAAAGTTTCGACGATATTCATTTAAGAGATTTTACTGTAGAAAAAATTTTTATGTTATATGTTGTTTTCATTATCAAAAAGTTTTTGTTTCTTTTTCTATATTTAGATCCATAGTCATTGATTCTGTTGTACAAATACATTCATTGGTTTAACAGTACAAAATGAAATATGTATATCATATTTTCTACATATAACTCCAAAACATGTTTCATTACCTCTATTTGATATTGATACATTTGAATTATATTATACAATTGATTAAAATAATTGATTAAATATCTATACCATGTTGAAACAATACAAATCGCCACAAAAGAAACTTTTTATAATTACAAATCAAACAGAAGTAAAAAAAACATTTATTTATGGAGCTTTTTTTCTTATTAAAAAAAAACAATTTGAATTATTGTAGATGTGCATTGTAAATAATCAAGATCTATTATTGATCAAATATTGTAAAATAATACAAGAGTTATTTGTAGTCTTGTTTTCTTTTTTATTGAAAAAAGACAGAAAGATATTCTATTTATGAAAATAAAAAAAAAGCTTTATAGTCAAAAAACAAAAATTATTGTCCTGTATCTTTTTTTTTCTCATATGTTATGCGTAACGAAAACAATACATGTATTGCATAACCTTGAAACAAGGTTTATTCAGATGCTAGAAAGAATAGTAAATTGCTAGTGAATTTAATATTAATATTGATGGATTTTTTTTCTTTTGTTTTAGATTTGGATAAATTCCAATAAGATGGTAATTAGATTATTATTATTATTAATTCTAGCCATTGCACAAATTAATGGAGATAACAAAAAAAAAGATTTAACTACAGAAAATACTCGACCAATTATTGGTAAAATAATCGTTATGATTATATAGTAAAATATGATTTTATTGGTATAATTAAGGAATTTTAACTCAACCAACGCCAACAGTATGGCTGAAACCAAATCGTACTACTTATTTAGCAGCTTCTTATGTTAAATATATCGAAGCAACTGGTGCTCAAGTTGTACCTATTCGGTAAAAGTTTGAAATAAAAAAAAACATTTTGAATAATAATTCGTTTTTTTTTTCTTAATTTTAAAGAATGTATCAAACAACCGATTACTATTTACATTTGTTTAATTCGCTAAATGGGTTTGCTAATAAAGAAAAAAAAAGAAAAAAAAGTCTTTTTTGTTTGTATTGACTTTCTTTTAGAGTACTCTTTCCTGGTGGAGATTTGACTGATGAATATCTTTTTGTTGCTAAACTTTTTTATATGTGGTCATTAAAAGTAAACGGAAAGAAAATTTTTTATTGTGTCATGTGTGTGAATTTTTAGGATTTTGATGAAATACAAAAAAGTTTTCCTGTATGGGGAACATGTCTGGGTTTTGAAGTATTACTTATGTTAACAAGATCTTCAACTGATATTTTGGAACCCTGTCAAGGATATGATTATGCAACAGAACTTACTTTTATGCCAAGTATTGAAATTTTTATTTAATTAGTTTTTATGATTGTTTGTTTTTTGTAAATAGATGCAAATGATAGTCGATTATTGGGAACATCATTACCATTAAACGTAAAATACGCTTTAGAAAATGAGCCAACAACATCAAATTATCATAATTTTTGTATGCGACCAGAAGTAAAGACTTTTCTCTAACTAACTTGATTTAATTATCTCAATATCTCTTAATGTAGAACTTTTCGGCTGATCCTATATTATCAACATTTTATAAAATGTTAACTATAAGTCCAGATTTAGAACGCCGAACATTTGTTTCAACTATTGAAAGTAAATATTATT